GTCGGTGTGCGTCGTCTGAGGGGTGCATCATCTAACCTCCTCTCTCTGGCTGGCTGGCCCTGAGCCCGCTGATTGTAGTTCTCGTCATCTTTCTCCTCCTCATTCTCCTCCTCTTCCTCCTCTTTGTGCAAGCGCTGCGCAACATAAAGAGTCCACCGACAGTTCAAACTAGCTGCTTAAGACGCGCCCACTTTCTTGTGTTGTGCATTTTTGCAAGGAGAAGAGAGAGTGGATCTGCTCTGCGTTTCATGAGAAGGGAACACTTGTTGTTACTCGATAAAAGTCAGTTAAAACTCGCTTGGAAATGGTACTGCCAAGAGTTATCCGTGCTGTCATCATGGGACCCCCGGGGTCGGGGAAAGGAACTGTGTCTGGGCGCATTACCAAAACTTTTGGGCTGAAGCACATTTCCAGTGGGGACATTTTGAGAGCCAACATCAACGCGCAGACCGGTAAGATAGCGTGTCCTCCCTCTCGAGCTAAAACTAAGGCATTGCAAAAGCTTTCAGGAGTTTACGTGTCAAACTGAAAGATTTAACTTCGTATTTATCAAGCTTATTTTGCTTAAAGCCACAGCTGGTCGTTACGCACAAAGTGCGAACTTAAAAACGAAACAAGGCTGCTTTTCTGCAATATTCTGATAAGAGTCCACGCCTACAACAGTGTGATTTTTATCTGTCTGTGAAATACTAAACATAGGATACAATTTAAACATGTCGTGTCTTCTCTAATCAAGGTCAGCGTTGTGTCAGGTTTATACTGCAAACATTTGCGCCAGAGTTACCTGGACCTTGGAGGAAGGCCCGCTACTGCTCAATATCACCTTGGATGTGGCTGAGAGCTGTAAAGATAAGATAGCCGTGAACTTTTGCTCCATGAAAGGAGGAGTTACACATTTGAAGTGGGGGGGGGGGAGTCTGTTTTTACAGCTGCATGAAGAGAATCCCATGTTGGTTGATTTGGAGTGTGCGATGTGTAATCGTGCTTTAACCGTTATTTATACTGGGAAAGCCTAAAACATACAGAGTACAGACGTGCAGGTTTAACTTAATTCACCTGAGCACCTGGCAATCAAAGCAGTTTTTATGCAGTGTGACTGTTCTCATTTTTAAAAGTCAGACTTTTTATTTGATCAAGCGATCCCCCGACGCATTCTGCTTCTTCATTAAATCCGCTTAGAAGAAAGCACTTTTGGATTTTGGTCATGAGTACTCCATATAAGTGCCGGTGTTGTGCCAAACTAGGTATCCCCGACAGAATTTGTTTCCCCTGCGT